GACGGATTCGCCGGAACTGGTTGTTTATCTCGGACCATGTCCAGAGCGGAGCAATGGCGTCGGCGTCAATTGGAGGAAGAGCTCAGTTTGAGTCAGTACGGGGTCGAGAGCATGTCTCCAAATATGAAGAGTCCATCTGAAAATAAACGTAACTTACGAAACCGTGCAGATCGATGCCCGGAATTTCCTTCGTTTTCGCTTGAGTTTCGTCGCCGCAGTTCAAATTTGTTTGCTAATATGATCTCCCCGGAACGACCTGTTTTGCAGTCCCCGCCAAAACTAGCTCTGATGACGCCTGTAGACACGAGTAAGTGTGTTGCGATTTATTTTATCACATCAATCTATCCACCTGTCAGTGAATCAGTTTTAAACCGAAGTGTATTCTTGAAACTGTTAGGCCATATTGTGCCGATATTATTATCATCACTATTCCGAAACAACCCTAGTGAGATGATTACATTAGGTTCACATATATTTTTGTCTAATCTGTTTCCTTTCATGTATTTATTTATTGAAAAACAAATTTGCCATCTATTTATTAATTGAGGTTGGTAATAGCGAGCAAGGAAAACTGCCATGAAAAATTAACAGTGATATCATAGGATGACTTTGCCGGGGTTCGAATACAGATGACAACATGAAGTCCACTGCTGTTGGTTCGTCGTCCTGTCCCTCATTGCTCACAATCGACGAATACAGTGTCTTTTGGATGCGAGCGTCAAAGATGAGAGATATCTATTTAATCTACTGTTTTAGTTCGGTTATTCATGCTAGAGCGGTAGCTGGAAACAGGATGCGATGTAATGAAAAACTGCTAGATATGCGCAACACTTCGAATATCTTCAGTTGATGACTATCCTCCACACGTCAACGGAAGGTATCCATAGTGCACAGGGGAACAATACGTGACGTTTCAACTTCGATGAGACATCACTCCTGCGTACGTCGCTCGCGCCTTAGAAATGCGTACGATCTTCTTTGAAATGCTACCGTTTTTCGTAACGTAACGGTTCAGTTAGCTAAAGCTTTAAAGCAATAGTAGTTGACACGGTTACTAGATAGCACATAGTGCATATGGCAAATTGCAGTAGAATTCAGGCAGATAGGTGATCTCATCGGCGTACTTCAGGCCGCGCAACTCTTCTCTATTTCCCCGTTCCTTACAAACATTTTGTAAATTGCCAACGGCGGCCTCCACTGTTTCATACACAATGAAATTATTAACTTGTGTTGGAGGGTAAACAAGTGTTTTCGTTGATGAAGATCGCGTGTCGGGTGTTGAGAGGGAGAACAACAGAGAATGGAATATAATGGAGGTGGAGAGAGGAGGGACGAGAGTTAATCACACAATGCTCCTAATATGTTCATTGCCTCCCCGCCCCCCAGTGCTTTCCATATTTGGCTATGATTGTTGGAGAACCTAAACAAAATGCTTTTACTTACATAGCTTCAGGTTCACCTAAAAGCTTCAAACGTCAACATTAAGAAGTCGTATGGAGGCTATCCTTGTTTCTCGTAAGACAGCCCCTTCAATGGACCGACCAGAGGCAGAACTTAAAAGGAAAAGTCTATCGCCTTTGCCGTGTTCGAATTAGAAATGTCTCCTCAGGTACCAGTTAAAGACGTGGGTTAGTACAATCAAATCAGATAGGCTTACTTTGGTGCTACCGGCTCCTTCGTTGCGCAAAGCCGGCTCCATGATGATCATGGGTTTTCATGAGAGTTGAGGCTGAGAGTTATCCCCAGCGTTTTGTTTTAAGGGTATACCTCTAACCTTAGCGCAGCCAAATTCGAACTAAAAGGTAGAAATGTGTTGGTGCATCGTTGCTGGTGGCTCCATAAGGGCCCATTCGCTACACGTAGCTGTGGTCCAGGGATTCATGCCTCCCTGTTAGACAGGCTTCCTTCATAACCGTCGAATCAGATAGTAGACCTCGTTTACTCCGCATGCCGTACACCGTCTCACCAAGGCTTTTATTCCTCGATTATCCTCAACCTGGTTTAGCCCACCTGTTGAACGGTTTGCCAGGACGTGGCTGTTGTTGCATGCCTCAGCTTCGTAAAGCCACATTTGAGAGTTATATATATCATGGATACCAATGAGGAGGAATTTATCTCCAAGGTTACACTACGTTCTACGCACTCCCATCAGGTCCCCCGCACATCCCAAATCAGATAAAATATGGCCTAAGTCTTCTTCACTTATCTACATTTAGTTTGAAACCGTGAGTTCAGTTCATTTTAAACAACCATTGAGCATGCGTTTCCGTGCGACGCTTTTGTTTGCTGTCTTTTGGCTGCTCATTTGGATGAACATTAGGAGAAACACAGGAAAGGTCGAAAGTAGGATCGAAGAAAAAATCGAAAAGTTCAGTGGACCACTGATACGGAGAAATTGAGAAGATGCACAAATGCGATTGTTTACGACACCCAGCCATATCACTCAGTGTCTCTAACCATCGGGTACGATCATCCCGACTCCCCAGCCAGGGAGCCTAACGGGACCTATATGACCCAGACTCCTGGTTAGGGTTTTCATACCCTCATTCCAGGTCTTAGCTTGACCACCCTGGGTTTTATTCCACCCACTACCTGCCTCGGCAAACTTCGCTTGCCGTGGCAATCTATCTGGTGACATGCGTAACATATACCCCAACCAACGTAATCTATAGAGGTCGATTACTTGCTCCAGTGGGTGACCGCGTTGGAACAGTTATCCGTTAAGGATTGAACCCTTGGAGCTAGGAGTTAGGGTAGAGGACCAGAATTAGCGAAAGTTAGGCTTGATAATTTGCGGTGGCAGTCCTGTACCAACAGTTGCACAACTTCGGTTTATTTTTTTGCACTGTCGGACACGTAAGTTGTGCAACGTCTTCCGTTCTGTTCTTATTTGGTATTCAACCATGGGTTTTTTTTTATTACACACTTCCGTGTGGTGAACAACAGACAGGGGAAGGCTCCATAGTCACGAGGATCTGCTGTTCAGTGATGGAAACCGGTTACCTAATTGCTGGGACTTGGAGTGCCGAACCACATAAGGCTTTACTAGGTTAGGTACGGTATTTGACCGGACGATAGCAAAGTTGGGTGGCGGTGGCGTTGCTCGAACCTCGGACCGTAGTGTCCAGAGCACGCCTGTGACAGTGACTAAACCACTGCGCCACCACCACTATTGAATAAATGAATGAATCTTCACAGCCAATAAAATGAGCTGCTAGATAGAATAACATTGTTGTTCTTAAAGAAATGGTATATAGGTTGAGAAGGAGCACGATACAACTGTTTCATTCTTGTTGCCACTCACTCACCGTGTGTGGTATTTTTGTGTCATTGCCGGGAAATCAGTTCACCAACCCCGATATCTGTGAAGTCACGTGGGATTAAACAAAAGCATTTTCAGAAAGTAGCCCTATATGACATTTGCACACGTCCAAATTAAATCATGCTTTGTTCGATATTTTAAGTGTTGCTTAATCATGCGCTTTTCATTCAACCCTGCGTCGCACAGTTTACATAAACATCTGGCCAGAATTTCGCACCGGAAACACCCTCTCCCTTCTTCTATTACAGGTTTATCCTCAGTTGCGCCTCCGCAATCAAGACATGTTACTGCTTCACCAGGGGATCAACCAACACTAAGTAACAAGACAACTCCGAATCGTCTGGGTCCTATTGATCAATTTGTCCGCTCGACGGAACAACGCTCCACAAAATGTACTCCTCGCAACTCAATAACCACACCTCGAAATCGGCCCGCACGAGCCCAATTTCCAGCCAGTAGTCCGGTTGAAAGTTCTCGTGAAATTCTCGTTTCTCCACAGATATTCGATGAAGAAGCAATGTTTTTAGCTCGGGAAGAATTCCTGAACGTAACCAACACTCCCAACATGGATTTTGACACACCAAATAGTTCCTCTGCTCGGAGGAGAAATCAAATGCTCAACGAAGATATGCTAGACTATTCGAATGGTTGCTCACCCAAAAGGTTAGTTTCATCGTACCACTTTGGCCGTAATTTTGTTCATATCCCATCTGACCTTTATTTAAATTAGGTTAACCAGTCAACCGCTGTACTTCTTTGACGACAGGTTGTAGCATCGAGCCTTTCGAGGGCGTTGATGTAGTTACTGGGGCAAAACCTCCATGTCTACTTGTGTTGATGTTTTTGACCCTCCGCCCCCGAAACCTTTTAACTGATACAACTGATGATCTTCGGCATTTCCGCCTCCATCAGACTATTTTCATGGATAATGTTAGAGTAGCTTTGTCGCTTATAAAGTATCCTCGGAGGGAAAAATGAACGAGTCGCCATAGATGGAGCTTCTGTTAATTGCGACCGTCGTGTTCATTTCATAAAGATCGAAATTCAGCGTATTCACTCTCTATTTTGCGAACTGCTCGACAATCGATCATCGCTGGAAGTCAGCGTCGCCAGCTACTGACACAGACACGCTGACTTGCTCGCACATTCGTCCAATTGCATCCATCATGTTGCCATGCTTTGTCACCACTCATGATGTAATCGAGCCTGTTTTACGAGAAGGGGTGGTGGTGGCAGGTACTTTAGTCGCTGTCACCGGCGTGCTTTGGACACTACGGTCCGAGGTTCGAGCCCCACCACCCAACTTTGGTGGTAGGCAGCTTTGCTGTCATCCGGTTCAATACCACGACTAACCTAGTAGAGCCTTATGTGGTTCGCCACTCCAAGTTCTGGGTCTTGAGTTACCGAGTACCATCATTAAACAGCAGCTCCTCTCGGTTATGGTGATTTTCCCGTCTGCTGCTCATCACACCACGATGTGTAGTAAAAAAAGCAATTCTGTAGTTACCCAAATCAGTAAAGCTCACAGCCGCATGTCCCAATGAGTTACCTCCATTTGTCATGAAGCACAGTACCCACACTCTAGCCTATATGGTGTCGACACTGATCAACAAAGCAGTTCGATTGCGTTCAGGTCCGTAAAATTGTAGTGCCCTCACTCTTATTCTCACCCCCAACCCCTTCTATTTTACCATTCAGATCTCTTGTTCATGGTTTTCATACCCACATCCATGTCTTAGTGTGATCCCCATTAACCTTTTTCCATTCCTTGACTGCCTCGGGAGACATCTCGCACCGCGGCAACCTTTCTGGTGATATACGTAATACATGCTCCTAACAACGTAATCTATGGAGATTGATCACTCACCACAGTCTGCAATCGCGACTACCTAAAACTCCACGTCTAACCTCGGCATTGCTTGTCCGGTTACCCCACCAGGTTCGTGTGTTGCTGCGTAGACAGCGGTGCTCAAACAGCGACAGCCTGTATTTATCCTTTCCCCCTAGTGGTCAAATCTTTCAACGTAAGGCAGCATTGGGTGAAGTGCTGTAGCCTACGCTCGACCCCTCACTGTCAGCTGGATGCCGCGTCGGCACCACAGATGTCTTACGTTTGTACATACCAATCGAGTCTTCTGTATGCGTGCCGACACTTCATCCGTGATACGTCTTCCAGGTGACGGAAAAGAGTGCGACTGTTATTGATAGCTGCAATTTTCTCTATCTCTCGATACTTTCCTAACCACCACTTCTCACAGTTATTCCTCATCCTCTTGATCAGCTAGTTTTCGTGCTGTGTCAAATTCGGCATCTGGAGGAATGGTCATGGGTCATCCAGCAGGGCAACTAAGGATGAAGAGATCCATCGTTTTTGCTTTTGAGTGTGCGCCAGAATCGGCCGTTGTGACTGACATATGGATAGCTTCCTTTAATAACCGCCAGTGTTCATTGAGTCCTTCGACTGATGGTTGAGCTGAGAGGCAATCAGACAGTTCCGCTTCGTACACCGATTAGCAGCTATCGGTTACATTGTATTTCGGGTGTCTGTTTCCGGCTGAAATGTTGCGGACATTTACCAAGTGTAAGCAAAATTAGGCTCGTAACAGAGCATAGTCCATACCCCCGCGAGTTAACCGGTGAGAGTGGCAGTCTTGAATGGATCTCCGTCAGTGGTAGCTGATGATGACTTGGTCGGTTTGGGTTCGTAGCTGCCAAGAGGTCGGGTTGTTTTTTGTGGGTGAAGTTGATGCTCCACAGGAACAAACCATGATCAGCGCCAAGTTGTCCGTCTTGTTGGCTGGGATTGCATGTGTTTCGTCAAGACATCATTCTGTTTCGTCCAGATATCCCACTTGAGCATTAAAGTTTCGAGCGACTAGCATGATATCCGTTGACACCTAGGAGCAGTTGAGGGAGATCCTCGTAGAGTACACTCTTCATTTCAGGCGAATTGCAATCAGTCGGTGCACACACGGACACGACAAGTAGGCACTGATATTTCGTACTTTAACTGTTGACCCGTACTGAGTCATCAAGGCGTACATCACACCAAACCTAACCTAGCGGGGTCTTATGTAGTTCACCAATCCAAATCCCACACACAAATGTGTTTACTAAAAAATTCGGCTAATAACTGGAATCCAGGTAAGAAGTAACTGCTTAGCCGTGATATTTGTGTTGGTCGTGGCCCGGTGTTAACGTCACCAATTATCACCCCGGAGGACGAGTGTTCGAACGCCACCGCCTGACTTTTCCCATTTGTGTATTGTATGGCAACCCTTTGATTGGCCGCTTCTCCCTTCCTGAAAAATTGTATCTTTGCGCATTTAATAAAAGGAAGTAAAATGAAGAAGAAATGAAAAGAAAAAAATCCCGACATCAGCAACACCATGATCGTCATATGCCGGATCACCTGACGCACGGATAGTGAGGATGGGGCTGGGTCAGGAGAACACAGGGTAATGATTGAGGCAGGGTGGTGTTTGCGTGTTTTGGAGACACAACATACGTCTACATTAGAATTTTTAAGGGTTCTAGCTAGGGCAGCTTATTGGTCGTGTACAGAGTGTGCAGACGTTGAATGCGGTTAAGTGAAAAGGAGATTTTGGTTTCAACAATATAGTGGATTCTGGTTGATTCACGTTACTAGGTAAATGCTGAATGATATCCCGTTAGTGGTAGCTGTAGGAGACATCTGAAATGATGTAAGAGTGAAACGAAGGACTAGACAGATGAGAAACAGAGTTTTGCAAATGTTAGGGACCGAGATATCTCGCGCTAGCTCACACCAACGATGATGCAAAGAGGGAATCGCTCTAAAGAATGAAAACCTTGGTACTAAATATCCACACCCACTCACCCTTATATGTTTGTTCGATAGCGTTTACAATGCCCTAACTCACTGTTGCTTCTCATATACAGACACACATATATATGCTTCAAAATTAGTGTGTCGAAAATTTTGCGTTTTGTGTAAAACTGTTGTTAATTGGTCAGTTCATTTTTATGCAGCTACGCTCGGCCTCAGATTTAGTTTTGGCAATAGCACAGGGACTCTTGAAGCCATCCACCACACCGCGTGTATGACTGACCTCAAACATACCACACCACTTTAATTTCTGACCGATGATTTCTATTTATCTACGATTGGTCCTAGCAAACGACGCCGAGTACATCCGTTTGGCCGTTCGGACACCTCACCAATGTCCCCCGCTGAACAGCCTCATCGTCGCTTGTCACCTGTTTCCGGCGTTCCCACGGCTCAGTTAGACCCAAAACCATATCGCACCACCATCCGATCGACTGGCAGAAATCAACAGGCAGATGAATTA